TCAGCTCCGTTCAGGAGCATGAGGCCTGTGGAATGGCTGCGGGTGATGTGGGCTGGGTCACGCCTAGTGATTTAAAAATCCTCCCCAAAACCAGCTTGGCCAGGGCTCTGAGATCACAGAATCGTGGAATAGTTTGGGGTGGAAGGGACCTTAAAGATCATCTTGTTCCAGCCCCCCTACCATGGGCAGGAACACCGTCCACCAAGCCCCATCCAGCCTGGCTGTGAGCACAGAGGGCAGCCACAGCTTCTCTGGGCAGCCTCTGCCAGTGTCTCACCACCCTCACAGGGAAGAACTTCTTCCTAATATCTCATCTAAATCTCCCCTCTTTCAGTTTAAAGCCGTTAACCCTCATCCTGTCCCTCCCCTCCCTGATCCTGTCCCTCCCCACCTTCCCTGCAGCCCCCTTTCATCCCTGAGAGGCCGCTGTAAGGTCTCCCCGGAGCCTTCTCTTCTCCAGGCTGAACACCCCCAACTCTCTCAGCCTGGCCTCACAGGGGAGCTGCTCCAGCCCCAGATCATCTTCGTGTCCTCCTCTGGACCCACTCGAGCAGGTCCATGGGTGTCTTGTGCTGAGGGACCCAGAACTGGACGCAGCACTTAAGCTTTGAAAGGCAAACTTTGTGGTGACATGGTACCCCAGAAAGAGTTGAATCAGAAAATGGGATGCATTTCTGAAATCACCTCATAAACTCCTGGGCCAAGAAACACAGCATCGAGTGGGTGTATCGCATCCCTCATCGCCCACAAGCCTCTGGAAAGACTGAAAGATGTGATGGACTGTTAAAGGCTACGCTCAGGGCCTTGGGCAACGGGCACGGAAGCACTGGGACACCAGTTTAGCAGAAGCCACTTGGCTGGTTAACACCAGAGGATCTGCTAACCCTCCTGGGCCTGCCCAAACAAAACCCACACATAACTGGGAGAGGAGATAAGGTCCCCATAGTGCACGTAGGGAAGCGGCTGGGGAAGGTGGTGTGGGTTGCTCCTCCCATGGGAAAAGGCAAACCCACTTGTGTGTCCGTGGCGGGTAATGCGGGAGGATGGGGAGACCCGGCGTGTGCCTCAAGATTGAACCTTTGTGGAAAAGTCATGTGTGCTGTGAGGTGTATGTTGTATGAAGTAACGCAGCGGGAATGACGACGAGTGAGTTTCACAAGGAACCGTGAGGGGCGAACAAAAAGAAAAAAAAAACAGTGAGACTTTTTTTTTTTTTCCAGGAGCAAAACACTTTTAGAGTGAAAAGTACAATAAAATGGGGACATTTCTTAAGTCTATGGCAAAATTCTGCAAAACCAAAACAAAACCAAAAAAATGCTTCACTAAATCAGTTCAATCGAAGTAACAGATTTAGTGGCCTATTTACCCAACTCATTCTTCTTTCCTTTGGTACGCCAAATCCTTGTAGTCTTAGCCTTTTTCAGATAAATATCTGATGTTTTTATAAGTTTTGCTGGTTATAAAGGTGCTACTCGTGTATGTTCTTTAATTACAGATTTGTAAAAATGTGACATTTAAAACCCCTCGGCCTCATGAAAAAAAACCCAAGTACAACTTGTTTCTTTGCTGTACACTTAACAGATGGATTCCAAAACACAAAATACCTGTATATAAAAAGGAAGATAGTGCACTTTAAGCTTAGAACATTCCGTTTTCAAATCCTCCGTCAGTCACAAGTAATTATTAACACTGTTCTTCTGCAGTCTTCTCCTAAATACACACGACCTTTCCGTTGTAAAATAAACACGACAGCAACGTTGGACTCGTTTTTTTTTTTTTTAAAGCGTGTGCTGTAGGAACAACTTTGACACCAAAATATCACGTAAATGAGATGTAAAGGTATGGCTCCTAAGGTCTGGATTAAATTCTCTTATAAAATTACAATTCAAGTTACTGGAAAACATAACTTTATAATCTTAAAAAGCAATATGCTCGTCTTAGATTTTTTTTCCATTTCTGTACTGTAAATGGAAATTTTAAGATAAAGATGCAAGTAGAAAAACAAAATTTCAGTACAGGTAACGCTGTGAATTTTTATAAGAAAAACATTATGCACAAAATGCAGCAAGTGAAAGTCCGGTACGTTCTTGCCTTTTTTCTATTTGAGTATTTTCATTCACAGTTGTTCAAAAATTGCTAATTTGTCAGTACATTTTGTAAGGCTAGTTTTACAACAGCATTTTTGTAAAGGTGAGAATATACACTATATACAGAAGATGCTGACTCAGTCCTTGCTGTGTTGTAAAAGTAGATTATTTATGTGAAATATAACATCAGTCATATTTCTATGACTGATTGGTAGAAGATGAAGCTTCTGTTTCTGTTGTTTTCTGAGTTTCCTTCGGTGTTTCTGGCTTCATCTCTTTACCAATTTCCCTACTCTTACTCCGATCTTTGCGATCTTTCCCTCTTTCTCTGTCACGATCTCGGTCTCTCTCTCGATCCCTTTCTTTTTCCCTGCTCCGATCTCGGTCCCTGTCTTTCTCTCGGTCGCGATCTCTGTCTCTGCTTCTTGATCGCTCTCGATCACGTCTTCTGTAGGATTCTCTCTCTCGGGTTCTCGCTCTCTCTCGGTCTCTGTTTCGTTCCCATTCTTTAGCCCGCTCGGAATCCTTCTCTCTCTCTTTGTTTTGGTTTCTGTCTCTATTTTTATCCCATTCCTTGTCTCTGTGTCTCTCCCAGTCCCTGTCTCTGTTCCAGTTTCTGCCACGGTCTCTGTCCCAAGGTCTGCCATGCTCTCGTTCCCTTCGTCTTTCCTCAAAGGGTCTGCCTTGTCGATTATCTGCTTGCTGAGGCTCCGGCTGATCTAAACCCTTGTCTTTATTTGCTCCCTCGTACCTCTCTCTCTGTCTGCCTTCAAAAGCCTGGCCTCTAAATTCAGGACTTTTGCCTTCTCGGAATTCAGATGCTGACCACTGTCCTTCCGACTCAGATCCTTGTCCAGAAATATTGGAAAGAGATGCAGATGGTCCAGCTTCCTCCCACATCTCTTTTCTGTGGGATGGTGGATGGCTTGGAAGGTCCAGGAGTGGTCTTGGGGTTGGCTTCATACCTTGCGATGACTGACCTTGGAAATGAAATCTAGAAGGGGGAGGTTCACTTTCCTCTGGAAACAGTGCAGGTGCGGCTCCTCTTGGTCCCCCAAACTGAAGCGGTGCTGGACCTCGCTGGTTGGTGAATCTGGGTGGTGGACTCCCTCTCCGTTCTTCAAATGGCTGTGGCAAAAGTCCTCTTGGACCAGGTATATGATTTGGCGCTGGGCCTCTCTGCCCTTCAAATTGATTCGGGTGAGGCCCTCTTGGTCCCCCAAAATGACTCGGGGCTGGGCCTCTTGGCCCTCCAAACTGAGGGCCTCCTCTCTGCCCTTTAAACTGAGCGGGTGGGGGTCGTCTTTGACCTCCAAAAGGAAAAGGCGAAGGTCCTCTGTTTCCCATAAACTGAGGTGGCTCTGGTCCTTCGAACTGTCCTGGAGGCCTAATCATTTCATTATATTGGGAATCTGAGAATTCCCTTTGTTCCATGTGAGGTTCCCTACGATCTTCAAACTGAGACGGTGACATTCCTCTTGGAACACCATGATAAGAAGGGGCAGGGCCCCTGTTATCACCAAAAAGAGACGGTGGTCCATGCTGTGTAGAAAATAAGGAAGGAATGGGACCCTTTTGACCTCCAAATCTTCCAGACAGAGGTCCTCTTTGCCCATCGTTATTTGGAGAACCATGCTCTTCAGAGAACTGTGGTGCTGGTCCTCTAAAATTAGGTCCATGAGGTCCTCCAGGAGCATTGAGCAGCAGTGGTGGTGGAGGCCCTCCTTTTTGCCCAGACAAAGAAAATGGAGGCCCACCTCGGTTTTCTTCAAAGTGCTGTGGGGAAGGTCCGCCCTCAGTCTGGACTGATGGAGATTCAGTTTGTTCTACAAATTGATGAGACTGAGGATTCCTTTGTTCGTCGTATTGCACTGATGAAAGACCCCTCTCTGGTTCAAAGTGACCAGCTGCCTTTTCCTGAGAAGTAAACATTGTGTTCGAAAAAGAATCTCTTCCCATGACTTCCTTTGACTCATTTGACCACGGCACTTTATGCATATCTTGCAAAGACTGACTGTCGTTCGATGCGGAGAAATTAGGCTGAAAAGATGTACTTGGAGGTGTTGGAAGCAGCACTTTACGTAAAGGTTTGGATGTAGAAGGTTCTCCAGAAGCTGTTTGACTCACGTTTTCCAAAGTAACTTGAACGGTGGTTTCAAATTTGCTATTAGATGCCTCTTTCTGGGACACGGTAGGAGCCTTTTCACTTGAGACCCAATTATCACTACTAAAACCAGGCTGAGTAGCAGAAACTAAAGTTTTATCTTCTTTACCAAGTGAAGTCTGCAAAGCATTTGGAAAACTTGCCGGAGCAATTTCTCTCGTGGTTATCTCGTTCTGTATCACTTGTGGCTTTATTCGAGAATCAGCGCTGTCGTTAGTCTCGACTGTCGCCATTCTTCTGGCTTGTCGAGGATCTCTGTTCTGCCTTGGGTCACAGCCCTGGTTTAAAACTTGTGCTTGCTGATTTAAAGACGAAGGCAAATCCACTTTTTGTGTAGCTTGCTGGTCCTGATGGAATAGTTCAGTCTTTATTAGGGAAGATTTTGGTGGTGGTGACATTAAAGCATCAGACACTGAAAAATGAGCCATTGAAACACCAACAGCTGCTCTTTGTTGCCTGAGGGCTTCTTCTTGTTCCTCTAGTTGTCTTTTCTGTTCTTCTATTTGTTTGTTTAATTCTTCCAACATTTTTTGCTGTTCTACCAAGGACGAGGATGCAGATAAATCAGGCACATATGAAGCAGATGTTTCCGAAGAATTGCTTTTAGTGTCTGTGTACATTTTGTTAGGTAAATCATCAACGGTAACTTTTGCTTCTTCCAAGATAGTTTCATCTTCTGGATCGTAGGCCTCATCCTCCAGCTCTGCTGTATTAGATGGCTTTTCCACATTATATCGTTTTTCACTGTCACCCGTCTGCATTTCAAAAGCTTTCTCTGGACCATATTCTTCTTCAGGATCATATGGTCTGTCATCCTCCTCCTCCTCAATAGCTCTGTCTTTTGACATCTGCCCAAACTGCTGCACGATGGGATCTAACAAGGGAACAGCTGACATTCCTCCATCAGCAGCGGCTTGACCTTCCTGATTTGAAGACTGGACAGTCTCAGAGTCTTTAGCAAGAGGCTCAAAAGTTTTCTTTTTTCCAAAAAGCGTTTGCAGGATGTGCTCGAGGGGTGTGGCAGTTTTTGAGGATGAAGAATAAGTAGCAGTAACGCTTGCGGAAGCAGCAGTTGACACCGGTGGTGTTACAGTAGTTGTGGTTCCACTTTTAATTGAGGACAGTATTTTTAATACTGAGGGTGTGACAGCCGAGGTGTCTGGAACGGGAAGCGGTGGTGGAGGTGGAGGAGATCCGGGCGGTGTTGTACTTACAGCTGAATCTCCTGAATAAAGCGTGTATTTCGGAGTTTTCTTCTCTTGCGAAGCAGCTAGGGGCCCTTTAGAGAACAGCGATGTTTCGGTTTCCTCGTGTGCTTGAATTCTGCTTCGCTTTTCCTCTATCTTCTCTGTTTCTATGCCGGCGGCAGGACGTTTCCCTTTCTGACAGATGACCAACCCGAGAATTAAATTCGGCCGAGATGACTCAAGACCTGAAAAGGAACACAAAGATTGTACGTGTAAAAAACTCACTTTTAATTATGCTTTCAGCAGAAACTTACTATTTTATATAGTGGCAGCTATAAAAGTCATAAAGGTAACAGCTTTTCTAAATCCCATTAGATGACCTATTGGCAATTTTCATTAGTCCCTAAGCGTGTGCATCTACATGTCTTTACTTTTTATATATATTTGCATACAATAAGTGATGTTTTAATTCCTTCCTTGGTATTTTTAATAAAGGATTGCAGCAACAGCTATGATTATTACAAAGTGTCTCTGCAAATGTTCAAAACCAAAGAAAGTTTTTGTCTTTTTTTTTTTGTATTGTCACATCATTTTTGTTGTTGTTCAACCACCCCACCTCTCCCCCTGAAAAATCATACATTGACTTTTAAATAAGTAAAAAAAAAAAAAAAAAAGTTTGCAAATACGTTGTATACACAGAGATACTGAAGAGTGAGAAAACCTGGGCTAAACTTCATACCTATATTTGTTATAACCTGTGCTAAAAGACTACATTGACATTTACATCGGCCTATAGATATTTTATCTACCTCTACGTTAAGCAAATACCAGTGATTGCCCAAAAGATAACCTCGAACAAGCTGTGTTTGGAAACAGCATTAAAGCTTGTAACCTCCTCCCTGTTTGTTTGGGTTTTTTCCAGCTAGACATCATTTTAAAAGGTGACAGAAGCAGGGAAACCGGTAACACACCCAACAGGCAAAGGAGAGCTCAAGCAGAGAGGAGTCCGGCTGTGGGAGAAAGGGACCGTGGGTGTGTTTGCTTTCTCTGCAAGGAAATGGTTGGGGGCAAGACCCTGGTTTGCAGAGGGCGAGGGGACGTTAAACCCTCTGCGGCAGGATTCGGTTTGATGCAGCAGGCCTTGCTCTAAGTAAAACACGTTGTGAGCAGAATTACTCCTTTGGGAAAGTTTCAGATTTGAATCCTTGGAGACCTGAATCCAACAGTGACGGGAAAGTTTCCGATAAAGAGGAAAAAACGCAAAGGTCTGTAGGTTTGTTTCACGTTCTTGTGTTTCTTCCTTTTACGTGCACAGTTCCCACTGGCTCTTGTGGGAGATAAACGTGCCTGGAACGATGGGCAGGGAATAAATCCTTGCATGTACAGTCGGTGGCAAATGTAGAAACTCTGTATAAAGAGAGGCTTTTCTGACTTCTGGGTTTAATGGCTTTTAAAAGCTCCTCATTTCAGGACCACTGTCTTGCCCCCGTTAGTTATTACTTGTGGCCAGCTGGGAAGCAGTAATAGAGAAACACAAAACAAGCAGTAAAGTAACAGACCTACATTGTCCCTTCTATTCATGAGCCTGTAAGGAACAGTTTTATATTTATGTTACTTGTTCCTATTAAACCAAAGCAACTGCTCATTAAGGAACAATTTTTAAATATCTAATTATTAGCACTGAACACTTTTTGATACCAACAAAAACCCCAAACCCCACAGTTACAGATAGATTCCATTAGCAAAGCACATTCACGACACATTACTTCGCTGAAACAACTGAATTTGAAGTTTTAAGGGGACTCTTAAATTTACCATCTAACGTGAAAATTAGCCATTTTCCTAAAATTACGTTCCTGTTTAATAAACTTCACCTGTTCTAAGTTCTTTGATTGCTAACTTCACACTGAAAAATTCAGTTAGAACCTACGTAAGTACAAGACGAAGGCTTGGCTGAATTGATGCCAAGGGAAAGCCCAAGCATTAGAACCAATTAAGTCAAGCTTTCTTCTTCAGTGAAAGCCTATACTGCAGGAATTATCTGCAGTTTCCTAAATAACACACCAAAACCAGAGCTGCTTTATGTTTTAAACTTACTATTTTTCTTCAATACTTGCTAAATATTTCATTAGGCAATAAATCTTGTTGACAGAATGTCCCCCTAAATCACCAACGCTTCCACTTGTTACGCTCAAGTCTTATCCCATATAAACCTTATTTTCCAAATAATGAACTACAGATAATAAGACAAAGACAGTAATTTTTCAAATATAATAAGTTAACTTGAAAGATTTATGAGATCTCTTGACAATTGAGGGAAAACCCCCTCCTCTAGAAGTCTGTGTTCTTCTGATTCTGACTGGTAATACTACAGTGAAACTGTTCTAATCACTTAATGAAGAAACCAGCAAAGTCTGGTTACTCCCTAGAAACAGACTTTTTAAAAAGACCAGACAAAATTACAATAAAAATTTGAGGCTAATCTAAAATATTTGCTTGAAATTTCCTGTCAGGAATGGCTCTTATCGTAATTATGTTGAGAAAGAAGAACAATTAAATTTGAGTCAAAGTTTTTGGAAATTCTGTAGAATGCATTCTAGAGCCAAAATAGAATTTATGTTATTTCACAGTTCAGTGGTCAAGTTTTACATAGTTCTGTGGTTAGGAGGGTATTGGACATGCGGGTTTAAATCATCTGTTATTTCTCATTTTGCAGGACATATTTCCTATTTGTACATCTAAAGTTCAGTGCCAAAAAGATTCTTCCCTCCAGGTACAAGACTTCTGTGTCTGTACATGTTGCCAATTTTCACCTCCTCCTTTCGTATTTAGGAAAAAAATATAAAAAATATAAATACATGAAGAAAATATAAAAAATATAAATACATGAAGAAAATCAACCAGCTATACTACCTGATTTGCTAATAAATCAGAACATGCACAAATTTGCCCCCTAAGAGGGGGAGGATGCTGAGATGTACAATGAAAGTAGGCAGGACAGGAACTAAACAAATAATGATTTTGAATAATCTTAGATTCACTGAAAAAGGACCACATAAATACTTCACCTGTCCAAATACTCATTTGCACCCACCACCTAAAAGCAATTCTAGTGGTTCTGTTCACAATTCACTACCTTAAATGAAACGATATGAATATATTAGATCAAGCTGTAGTTCAGCAGTAAGACACTTTAACTGGGGGAAAAAAGTTCACAATTTACAGTCAGAACAGACTCATTAGTTAGAAATGGTTCACTGTGTGTGAATTTGCTTTTTTCTTTATCAGTATATGAGGAACAACTCCACGTTTGGTCCGTGTTGACCAGTGCAGAGGATCTCTCAAACTGGGATTCATCCAAACCCTCCTAGTAGGCATTTGCTGTTCTGTTGTTGATGTTTTGGTTATCTGCTTTTACGCAGAGACTTGTGATTTATACAATTAGTCACAATGAATCTCAAACACTGAACAAACAGGTTTCAAACAATCCGTCAGACAGGATAACTAATAAACAGCAATTACTGAAAAATCAGGTTTGAATCCCTGTAAGAAACAGAGATCAAGTCACTAATTAAAAGAGAGTGAAATTTTAATACACTTTCAAGACAATAAATTCCAGTTGTAAATTAACAACATTAAGTTATAATTTAATCTGGTTAAGAGGTTAGTCATCATCGCATAAATCCATTAAAACTTTCCATTTTGATACTGCAATTTTACACCAATATTAGAAGTTAACCCTAACCTGGCTTCTACATTCTCTCAGTTCAAAGTCAGCAACTGGGAAATGCTTCTTTCGAGGGGAAGCAAACACCTACTCCAGCATTTCGAAGGACGGTCCCATTCTATTTCAATATCCATCAACACATTCAGTGCCTCATTTTAGGTAACAACGACAACGTTGGCTGCAGTCTCCAACTATGGCTCAATGACTGCCTCCAAAAGTGCTGCAAGCCGTGGCAGCAGAGTGAGTAGCTGTCGGTGCTAAATTATTTATAAAATAGTTATCACCCTAGTATGTATTTGAAGCCCGCATGCCAGGTTGATTGAGTTACACCCTGTAACTAAAGCCATTAAAACAGGATATACTAAATATGGTAACTGGGTGAATATTTGTTTTTCTTACCCTTACAGACATTGTTTCATTAAATCGGTTTTACCATATTTATGCCTATAACGCCCTTATATGCTTAAGCTCCCTACCGCCATCACGGTTACCTGCACTGTCACAGACACAGGCCTCATTTCTGGTCCCTGATGACAAACCCACGGGCACGGACCAAGCACACCCGTGGTGTACATTTTAAACTGCAGAGACCAATACAAGATATTCCTGTATCACCACCACTTAAATCCTTGTCCCAATTAATCAGGAGGGCGACTGACAACTGCCACCAACTCCGTGCCCCCTTAACTGAGGGACGTAGATCCCTTCCAGCGGCGCGCGTTACGGCACCCTCGCTGAACGGGACGGGCTGGCACAGGCCATGAGGTTCGTGGTGCCACGTTCTACTGCTGCTTGCTTTTCCTGACGGGATCCGCTGAGGTGAAGCAACGCCATTCAGAGCAGAGCTAAAATGTTGTTCCAGTTGCTGTCATTTTTAAGAGCACTCGGAACAGCTTGAGGAGATTTCATGCCTTCATAGTTTAAGAAGAACCACGCTTGTAAACTACCAAAGGAGAGATATCAACATTTGTGGAATCCTTTGCTGATATATGGGTGTTTTATTGAAATTTATTTTAACTAAGATCCTTGTTATGTCCCCAACGTTGCCACTAAATCCCTCAATAAATCACTTTCTATTGGTAATTCTTACTACACTATTATTTACAAAGTGCCTGAGATCTACAGATGAAAGTGCTAAATAACACTTAGTGTGTACGTGAAGCAGGCAAGTAAATCCACACACAGTAAACCATGGCAAAAAGACAATCCAGAAGAGCCCACTGATGCATAAAATCTGGTAATAAATGTCTGAGATGAATTAAGTATAAATATGGATAACCTTCCATTTTCCTCTGTTTTTAAATCACCCACGACAAAGCTTTTTGTAGATCTTCTAGGTACTAGCGCAGTTCAGAAGTCCTCAGTTGTGTTCCAAATCCAGTCCATCAGAAAACAGGAGAAATTCATCATCCGTACGAGCCTGATGGAACTGGTTGATACAGCTGGAATATCTTTTAACTAGGATTTCTGGAGTGGCAGGGTTTTATCGTCCTCTCCCTCCTCCCCCCTCCAGTCACATTTCTCAAATCATCTTAAACTACCTAAAGCGTAATGCCTTTTGAGTCCTTGCTAAACCCTGCTTGAAGGTACACGATTAAATTTAAGGAGACAATGACCACTTTCCATAAAATGCTTTTATTGATTGTGAAAGAAAGAAAACGTGGTAAATTCCATCAGATGTCATTAAAAAGTACGGATTACACGTCTTTTATACTCTGGGTTTAATACATGCACAGACACAGAAAAGCAGCTTACCTCTTTTTTTTTTTTTTGCACCCCCCATGCTGGATTCTGGTTTTAAACTATGAACACGACGTAGCACAACTATGAGGTTGCGGCTGTCACGGCGTTTCCAAGACATGTAAGTCGATGGCAGAAGTTTAAGTGGGTCTTTTATGAATCTATTCTACGGCCTCTCTGCCTTTGGAACCTTGGTTTTATTGCTACTCTTTAAGCCACTTTGTCTACAAAATGTATTTCCATTTCAAAACCTGACTTACAAAATCTGCCCCCGTGAACACCCCCTGCAAATGACCCCTGCATTTCTCCTGAGCAATTCCCTCCGGTTTGGAAAAACTGATGCACTTTAAACTCAGCAAAACCAGGCTGACGTTACAGGCTTCCATAGCGATCCTTAGTAGAGTTGGTCTACATTGGCCAACCTCTGATCTAAGAGAAGAGCTTCATTTGAAATGAAACCTCTGAGTTTAGTCCTAAACTTGGCTTTGGGGAGGAGAGGACAGTCAGGTTCTCGGAGAGGAGAGCTCCTTGCACGTTTGCTGTTTCACACCTACTGCTCAGTATTTTGCAAACTACTGTTAGGACAATGAAGTCCTGCCTTCACTGGAACCGGTGGTTCTTCAGCATCTCAATCTGTTACTTTTATATAAACCCCCAGATACTTATTTGGAAACTAAGCGGATGTACCTCCTCCATCCTCGAATGAAGCTGACTTCAAATTTTGTAACAGGAGGGCGTTTCATGGCTGAATTCATTCTCAGTTCTTCTCTTACCGTGTCCAACGCACAAACATGGAGCAAACTCAACCTGAACTTTACTATTGGTAATTTTACCTAAAAATAGATTATACTATAACCTGCCTATACCAACTAGTGTCTGCCACCTCAGAAACCTGGATCCCCTTCCCCCCGAAACAAACCATTGTCAGAAGCTGTGATTTGGCTAGAGTTTGCACACCTAGAAGGAAACAATTCAAACACCCTGTGCGCCACATTGCACGTGCAGATTCGTACCGAGCATGAGACGATGACGATGGAGTGAAACCACTGGTAATTACCTTGGTCTTCACAGGTTTCTTGACTCCTCTGCCCGCGGTTTCCTGCTCGACTTAAGCAACGGTGAATGGCTTGTAAGGGCCAAGGTTTTGTGGATTTATGGGTTGCTGAAGATAGGGTGGGGGGTGGTTGTTGGGTTGTGGGTTATTTTTTTTTTCAATATAGTGGCTGTTCCACATACCTGATTTTACAGCTAAACTCATCCTCCTAATAGCAGATAAGCATCTTATTGGAAAGGCTTTGTGAATTTCAGAGAATTTTATCTTGAATACAGTTGGATTTCCAAATTTTCCCTATTTACATGCTTTAAAATTTGGTTTAGATATATTAAAAAAATTTAATAATGCTTACATTAAACATTCAACAACTTGTCTCAGAGTGATTTTTGTTTTGTGATTTTACCTAGCATTTAACCTCCCCTGTTTTGTGCTTACCTGGTCCCTCAAAGGGCAAGAGTTTGGAAGGAATTGGGTCCTTAGTACTCAGGGGGATCAGGTAGAGATCCTTGATATGTCTGTTGTTATTAGCTACAACACCAAAACGACCACGACTGCTAAAATAGGAGTAGAGAGAGATATAGGCAACTTCTTCTTCTTCTGTTGCAGGATGGAAACGGATCAAACACAACTCCTGTAATACAAAAGCAAAGTGGAAAAATTCAACCTGCAACATACCAGCAAATGAAATGGTAAAGGGCAAGTTCGGGGCATAAAAATAAATTGTTCTTTTATCGCTCCAACTATGTTTTCGAGGCAATACTCTAGCTTTAAGAGAGTCCCATTGTTCAATTTGTAATATTAAAACAGAATTAGGTTTGTCATCTTCAGAAATACAAACTACTCGTGTATATTACATCAAACTAAACATCTTGAGGCTCAAATTAATACGGGAGAAATGGAAAATTCTTAGTTTCGTGATTATATCTGTATACTGTGCATTGTTTTTTCACTTCTGAAGTGTTTTTAATAGTAAAATTACATCTTTTAAATATGTTCCTTTTTAAAATTTGAATTTCAATCTTCCATACTGAATAAATAGATTCTGTTCAATCATTAGAAATGAATAAATGGTACGAAGATTTAACTACTATGCAGGAGAGCGAGATCAAGAGGATCTGCAGCTCAATAAACATGTTTCTTCAATAAATCAAAAATTTCAAAGGAATAAGCGGTGCCGGTAGTTTTCCAGGTGTGATCTACGTCACTATTTGCTGCTTGCTAATTTACATTATAAAAAGTTGCCATTTGATATCGCTGTACTTTTCTTCTGGGTTTTGCAAAGGATTTTAAGTGAATACCTTAGAAAGCGAAGATTTGAGTTTGCCAACATACTCCCAGACTGTCTTCGGTAAGATCCGCCCGCCAATGTGAATTGTATCTGGTAAATCCTAAACAAGAAGCATCACATGGCAGCATGAGAAAAACCAAGAGACATTAGTTTAAAAGCAGCGCAGGTCGCCCCATCCCAGTAGCCGAGTGGATAACGCACCGTTATATTTTAGTAAACTTTCAGACAGACTTCTCTAGTTTCAGACAGGCTATTTCTGCACCTCAAGGTGTTTAATTACAGCACCAAAAGGCTGACAGTATCCATGAAACAGAAAAGGTACTCCCAAAGAGCAGCAGCAAAACGTCAAATAGTTCTGTGTGACCGTTACTGGCTCTGTTTTGATGGGGCAGCTGCTATTGGAAATACTGACTTTTCTCCACCCTTTCGGCTCCTCAGGAAGTGCCACACTTGTGACTCCAAGTCACAGGAATTCTAACAAGTTTCCGCTCATGAGGACAGTGAAACTCATTTTAGCAAAAGCGATACCAAAAAGAACCACCAACCCTGCTAATAAAAGTCCTAAAACACACAGTGGTGTTTGAAGCTTCCCAACAGTCACATCAAACGCACTTCAGAGAAAAAAAAGAGAGAAAATCTGCTTTGTCTTGGCCCAAACCTTTATCCTGCCTCATTATTTGTGTGCACGCCCTCCCAGAATCTCGTCATCCAATTGCTTTTATTTGGAAATTAGTGAAGAGGATGGTATTTTTCATAAATGGCTAAACAAAGTTTTGTAATAGGTCACACCAGTGACCCACCCGGTTGGCGAAGGGAACAAACATCTACTTTAACCCAGAATCACAGGATGGTTTGGGCAGGAAGGGACCTCAAAGATCACCCAGTTCCAACCCCCCCACCATGGGCAGGGACACCTCCCACCAGACCAGGTTGCTCAAGGCTCCATCCAGCCTGGCCTCGAGCACTGCCAGGGATGGAGCATCCAGAGCTTCCTCAGGCAGCCTGTGCCCGTGTCTCGCCACCCTCAGGGTGAAGAACTTCTTCCTTGTATGTCCTCCAAACCTGCCCTCTCCCAGCTTCCAACCGTTACCCCTCGCCCTGTCACTGCAGGCCCTTGTAAAAGCCCCTCCCCAGCCTTCTCGTATGCTGGCTCTAAAATTTCTTATCGAACAATGAAGCTGAAATAAAACTATTACTCCATGTCAGATCGTAACAAACGTATAAATGTGTCTAAAGACGTGAAAATTCTTCACAAATTTGTGAGGAATTTTTAAAAGGCTTTTTTTTTTTTTAAGTGTTCTTGAGCTATTCCCTGTTACTACAGGGATGCCATTCACCACTGCGACGGTTCTAACAGAACAACCTCCTCAGAGTGACCCCCAGCCTTTCTAACCGCAGGAGCTGCAGCACAGATTTATTCCAAACACACAAACATGTCAGCGCTAACCTCACTAAGATAATCAAAGCACCCGGAGACAGGATATGCTTTAGTGACAAATTTGGCCACACTTTGCATGTTAATAAATCCTTTCCAAATGGTGTTGAGACGAGAGAGAAAGAGGGACGTGTCGCTGTCTTGAGGGGAGCGCGGCTCTGCAACACTGCAAAACAAATCCGAAACAGAAAGGTTACGGAACACAAATGAGAACGGCCCCTTATTTGCTTTTCTTCCCTCCTCCTATTGATCAAATACTTTATTTTAAACAAATTAACAGAATTTTTACTAAGTGCTTTGTTAATGTTTTCCATTAACCTGGTATTAGTGAAAAAAGCAAGGAGTAACAGAAAATAAACTTGTAGACAGGCAAAAAGATGCCAAGAGATAGGACTTTCTAAAACTAGGTCAGCACAGTAACGGTTGTGATCCTGCCTCTGTAACAAACTCATCGGAATTACGTATTTCCCACTAATTGAGTCAACAATATGCATCTGAAGGAGACTCTCAAGGAAAAGAATTTGCAATGAACAAAAATCTTTTAACTGCAGTTGCGCACGGATATACTTTGCAGTATTTATTTTTACTATTGTATATACCCAGAATATAAAGAAATCCACTTCCTTGCAAGCTGACCAGCTGGTTCATTTTACTTCATAGTCAGATGTAACAGTGTTTTGATGTAGGATGAAAATCTGGAAATGCCTTTAAACCATCTCTCACGTACACTTGCCTTACATATGTTAATCGAAGTCTGCCTAATACCTTCCAGTTTTATTTATCTGCTGAAACACATTGTACACTCCTTGCTGTCAACATACACTGATGCTCCAAAAATTTTACCAACTAGAGAAGGTAACGGAGGAGATGGTAAACTAAAAACCTGCATCGGGCTACCTGAGCTTTAACGCTGAACAGGCCTTTTGATTTTGGGGGGAGGGGAAGGGGACACGGGACTTTGAAGATAAGCACGTTAAAGGTTCGGTAGCTTGGCTTACTAATAAGTATACGCACTTGATATTGGGTGAATGATGAACTGCTAAGTATCTTGGATCTGGTGAGGACGATGGTTTTGTTAATATTGATTTGGGGACAGTCATAACGGGTTTTGAAGATTCCTGCTTTGTTTCCCCTCCTGAGACTCTGTCAGCGGCAGGACCAGATCGCAGGGCTGGCGTCGCCACACCAGAGGAGCCGCTCATCGCCGTCCTGGGGTCTCTGCCCGAAACCGTTACGGTCGTGACCACTCCGCCAGCACTGGAGGCGGGAAAAGCAGGAGCCTCTTCGGGTACAGAAACATCTGTATTGTTGTGGCCCTGGGTTGTAGGAACGTAAGTCCCTTCTGTGCTTGACTGAGAAACTGTTTCTGCTGCTGGTGCCACTTCAGTTTCCGCTGCGTCCTCAGAGCCAGCCTCTTTGGCAGGCTCGGCTGCTGGGGCTGGTGCAGAACTTTCATACTTCGGCTGCGCTTCTGGTTTTGATTTTGACTCCACCTTTTTAACCGGAGCCACTGACTTCATCTTCTTAGGTGGTACTTCATCTTCGGATGCTGAAATCTGACCTACAAATTTTTTTTCAAAAGTTTTTGATTACTATTTAACAATGAAATAGTTTGGAGAACACCAAAAAAACCCAAACACCACTCTTAACAATTCTTTTACTTTGCACAAAGTCAGCGCTGTAGATACCTGTACAGATTTTGCAGTTCAGGTCAAAAAGATGGGCTCGATGTTGACTTGTTGTATCCTTCAACATGCTGCTAAAAACATCTAGAGAAGGAGCGCTGTTTAAATTGGGTGCAGTTCGGGCTGACTCTTGCTGCTCCTAAAAGTGAGTAAGCACAAAAAATGTTCCAGTGGAACATTAATTTCAACCATGAAAAAATACTTTGGAAACTGTTAGTTAACTTCAATTCTTTAAAAAAAAAAAACAAAAAACAACAAAAAAAAAGATGACAAGGCCTTGGTTAAAGCACATCATGTCAGATAGAGTTGTCAAATAATATTTGTCCTCATTTCATTCCATGATGTTCTGAAGTAGATAGCTAAAGCTCAGAAAGAAAAGATTTCTCTGTAAATTGACAGCAAGGGCTGAAAAATACACATTATTTTAGAAGTGCATGCAAAATATGCCTATCATTTGGTTCCTGCACGCCTTCAAACTCAAAGGAAAACTGCTTATAGCACACCTACTAGGTGATAATATCCTCACAGCTCATTGAAGTGATCTGCACTTCTGATGAAAAACTGGAGGCCCTGGTTACCATTTATCTCCTTCGATGTCTTCATGCTGAAGCAACGGCCAATACTTACGTCAGAATCAGACACTGGCGGAGAATCTTCCATATTTACAACTGGCGCATGCTCCCGTTTTACAGCCGTTTTCTTGATTTCATGAGGTTTGCTTCTTGACTCTATCACCTGAAGGAAACAAAACCATTTTGGTAAAAAGTCCACATATTTGTTTGATAATTTTATGCCATACTTTGCTATCATTTGGCTGGTGGTAGAGAAAAAGTACATGGAAATTGAACATTATTAGTATTTATTACGAAGAAAATGTTGCGTTAGCTAATATGGGTGTAAGGGTTGGTGAACTTGCTCTTAATTCAGATCTAAAGACACCGGGGAAAATGACGTTACTTACTGCTTTAGCTGGCTTCTCTTTCCATACAGACAGTTCTTTAGATAAAAGTTCTTCTGGTTTCATTCTCACTAGCTTGGACAGTGAGATTTCCTCACGAAGGACACGATGAAAAAGTCCCTGAAAACAGAGCAGACTTTGTTGCCATGCTGAAGAGAACCTGCTTCGGTACCTAACGACATTTACAGTGCTTCACAGGCAACACCTCCTCCCGTTTCTTAATTCTCTATTAAAAACATGGGCTACTTAGAAGCAAATTCAGAAAAGCGCAGCCACCAGAAAACAAGGATGAAAGAATCATGAAGTACGAATTTTCCTCCTTATCATCGATAACTAGCAGTATAACGGAACAGGAGTGTCAGAACTTGAACAGCCACTCTCCTGTTTCGTATCTATTGTAGAAATTTAAAAAAAAAATATATAAAAAGAAAGAAGTTTCAAATGTTCTCTAGTGAATATTTTCACCCATTTTTTCTTCTAAAGCATAAATACGGGCATGTACGTGGGCAGTACCCAAGACATACTACAGAATGTCACAAGAAGAGAAATTAATAAAGGCTGCATTTATTTTAAGAAAGCTATTCTGTAAATAAATATTTCATACCAAATGCCTAAACTTAATACACAAAGTAGAACTTGAACTGCTACTTGGATTTTTTTTTTTTTTTTTTTTTACAAGATCTGAATGGCTTTACAAAAAACTTCTATAGCTGTCCTGGTTTGAGCCGGCCCAGGCCTAACCCGGGACAACAGTGTAATTCCTATGTGTCTATCTTGAAACTCCTCACGTTGAGGGTAGAATTTGACATACCATTAAAACCCAAAAGTTGTTTCAATATATGGTAACTGTTTAAGGAAATTCCAAACCTGGTTTTTGGGGTCCTTGAGATTGAACATGATGCTACGGTATTTACTCTTGTATCTGTTGTCCGTAACTTGGAACAAATTAAACATCTCCTTTTCAATATTGAGGGCTACTTTCAAAAAAAAACCCTACTTCACTCTCTGTCATGACCAGATCATCGCTATCATTGACTCTGTTAAAAACAAGAAAGGGCACGTGCATTCAGGTTAGGCATGAATCTTCAGGGAGCATTCATAAAAACCAACTTTCCAGAGCTAACCTGGGCGCCCCCTGCTCAGCGAGGGCTCAGGACTCCTAATTTCAATGACACCTCAAAGCCAAAGTCTCTCAGGACCTTGAACTGACACCTAGGGGAACCTTGCACTGCTGTCCCCAGGCGGCCAGGGAAGGCAGCTCCGGGAGGTCACGGCAGCCTCTACAACTACTGCTGGTGGCACTGAAGTTCGGAGGTTCTCTGCCGTGAGTGACCGAGGGAGCCCAAGCACTTCAGTTTTAGTCCCAGATCCTCCACCAACGAACAGCATCTGCATTTCAGAGACACCACCAGAGTGCAGTGGTCTACAATAGGTATCGATGGCTGACATTGGCTCTAATAAGAGTTGTGGGAAAATCTGCTTTTTGGTTGGTTGGTTTGTATTATTTTTTTCCTTTCCCAAGTGATACAGCTGTCCACTGACCAGGGCTTGTGGTTGTTGCTGGGTTTTATGTTGAGAGGGAATCTCTGCTAACGTTAAGACTCTAACCTTCCATGATATTTCCTGTACTATGTTCCCTACAAACTCCAGACACTGCCATCACCAGATTTTAAAACTTCAGAGCACCTGCATTACAAAAGCTTCTATGCTGTAATTTAATTCTTCAACTGTAATTGCCTCAATACAAATGGAATAGTGAGGTGTTTGGGTTTTTTTTTTAAAGCTTTTTCACATGCACATTTATTTTATATCAGGTTTTTTTCAATTTAAACATGAAATGCCAGTTACGCTTGTAGTACTTGGTAGTATAAATTCAATCCCTCAATATCCTTTATCAAGACACAAACAAAACTCTGCAGGCTAAACATTTACTTCTCGTTGTATTTTCCTACATAAAATGAGTGCTTGGAATTCCCACCTCTTCCATAAAATTTCTTTTAGGGATCGTCGAATATTTTGTCGAATCTGAGAGTTGGGTTGTGACTGGATAGGGCTAGCTGATGGTTTTGCTTGACTACTTCCAGACGCGGTAGAAATGGAAGATAGTGAAGGCTTTTTGAGTCCTCCACCCAAACTGGAGGATGTAGCTGGTTTTTTGGAAACTGATGAGCCATGAGAAAGAGAGGACGGTTTTGAAGGAACATTGCCGGACGAAGGAACGGTGCCTGATGAAGGAACACTGCCTGATGAAGGCCAAGGTTTCTTGGGAATGACACCTTTGAAACTTCCAGCTGAAGGTTTAAGTGGCTGCTTAGTTACTGATGTGTTCGAGAAGGACGGGGCCTTCTTTGAAGGGAGATTTTTAGCGAGAGAAGATGTCTGCTTCTCCATCATAGATGCAACAGCTTTCTTTGATGCCGATGCAGGCTCTGCTCTATCTTCGCTCCTTTTCTCTTCCCTTTGAGCTGTTAAAACAAAGAAGAAAATACAATATTAAAGGCTTAACTTTATAACTTCCTATTCCTGAAGACCAGGTAGCAATCTGTAAAGAAAAGTCTGTGAAATGACATCTCCAGAGAATTACCATCAAGGAGGCAATTTAAGCTATTCACTTTCACTAGCCTGTTTAAAAGTAATTATAGGTTTTTTCTTGAAGAAATTTGCCTTTGAGCATTCAGAGAGTACTTTGTCTCAGAGGCCGACTGAAGAGTCTGAAGTTCCACTTGGGCTCTAAAAGTTGAAAATTTTATTTACAATCTACTCAAGAAAACTGGAGGGGGGGCAGGGGGGGAATAAAGCACCACCTTCAAAGATTCCTACGTGGGATTTCATGGTTAAGCTTCAAACACACCTCAAACTTTCACACATTTAAAAAAAAAAAAAGCAACAACTCACATTTCACATTTCAACAGAAAAATTCTCATAGCACCTTACAGAACCAGTTTATTAGAGGCCGACCTGATGACAGAGTCCATGAATTTGAAACTGCATTACTATTACCTTATGTTTAGTATTACGGAAATTAATAAACCCTTTCACCCAGATTTATTTTAAAGAGCAAGCAAAGACAGACAAATTATGTAGCACAGAAGCTGCTTAAAAAATTTAAATAGATAATCTACTTGGTTGCTAGCATGAGTATCATACTGATGGCATTGCCATCAACTATTATTAGATCTTCCTATTCAGTTCCTAGCTAAATTCTAGACTTCTAGAATAAACGTTAACATTGCTGCTCAGGCTGTGGCCATCTAATTCCCACCATTCTCAAAATTCAGATTTTCCATTTAAATACTTTTTTTCCTAATGTTAATAGAACAATGGATACATATCATATGCAAGAAAATTTACAAAGTGTAAGTAAAGGCTCCAGCTTTCACAGACGTTGAAGTTATAGCTGCACCAGACTAAGAAAGCATTTCTTTAAATCGCATTTCATCTGTCCACCTTCTGGCACCAACAGGAACAATTCAACCGAGCAAAAAAAGCCAAAACCAAGACACCACATCCCCCCATCAAACAAAACATCATTTACAAGACACTCCAATCAGCTCACACTAGCACGTTTATCCCGACAGCTCAAACAAGGAAGGGATCTGGGGGAAACTACCAAAAACCAACTGCTGAAATACAATTGTTTCAGTTAGAAAAAGACAAGTTTTCCCCCAAAAAAAGCCTTTTTTTCTCACAAATCTGTAGATAACCACCGAGTAGTTAACAAGTTAGTTTTTAATCTGATGGTTTTAGCTAATTTGTAGATGAATTAGCCCACAGGCCCTAGCTGCAAAACACAGGACGCTTCCTGGGAAGGATCCAGGAATTTAACTTTGATCAACTTTACCAAGGACCAAATGGCCCCTCTCCTCCTTCCAGATCTGCTATAATGAGAGCCAAAATTACCAGGAAGGGTTTAAATTGTCCAATCCATCTGTTCCGAGATGGACTTGCAGGGGACAAAGCACTCCTGTGAAGTCTGGTTCAAAACCCCCCAGGAATCAGCGCAAGCTTGCAACGGAAACATCCCTCAAATCCGGGGGGGATTCGGAATGCTTAAGAGACACAATGTAATACTCCCCAAATTTGGGGAGGAAAAGGCCTTGCAGCCTTTCGCCGTAGTTAAAGTTCCGGGACCCCCTGAACATTAGCGGGTGCTTCCAGCAGACAGACGCTGCTGACCCCGGTTGCCTCAAAGGGGCTCTGACTGCTGGCGGTTTCACCCCAAACACAGAAGCCGGCGGCCAGGACGAGCTACGAAACGACGCTGGACTTGAACTGCTGTCAGGCTCAGTGGAAGGGTGTGTGCTGAACTTCTGCTGGAGCACAGGGAGAAGCAGCCAGAAGATCCAGAAACACTACGTATTTATCCTTATTTTTTTTTTCCCCTGGAAGTGTTTTACAAGTAGACATCTTGAGGAATTTTTCTGAGTGAGATTTGAGGTGTAGCATGAAAACAGCTGCCACAATACAGTAAATCACTTCAAGGGATGGGAAGATTTTGCTCTAAAGTAAATTAAAATTATTACTTTCACACTATTCCCGTAGCTTCCCCTAGAGACTGGTCTTGGCTGCTGTCGAGCTAGGGAGAGCTCCCGTGTGACCCACCCTGTCCGTCCTTACGTGTCCCCCCCTCCCCTACCCCGCTACCCCCGCTCTAGTTGTCGGGAGGGGTCTGGCAATCCCAGGAGGGAGGAAGGGGATCGGGAACTATCGCTGGTGCGTTTTGTTTGGTAAATTCGGGACCCAGAGGTTAACAGAGGTAAAAGCCAACCTCTTTTCGGTCTTGACTAGAGAGAAGGCAAATATCCAAAGCGTGCACACGGGTAACGCTGCAGGAATTCCTCTGCTTCCATTCTCTTTTTCCTGGTTTATTGCATCTCCTGCACAGAACTGTACCTTTCCGGGCAGGCAGGACAGAAGCAGGTTTCTGTGACTCGTCAGGAAAAGGCGGGACAGCACAGCTTGGGTTTCAAAATTATGACAGTAAAACTCAGTCCTCAGTGCCAAGACATTTAGTTCTTTTGGTTTACAGCAGGAGTACAAAATGTGAAATTCTAAATTCACGCTATCTTTTTAACGATTAGTTCAAATCAGTTAACAAGAACTCCATTAATGAAACTAAAATAGCACAAGATGTTGTGTGTCAATCCGATGATGTACACAGGAGAACTACATCCACTCCACAAACCTGCGTTACAAACAGCTGTAGCGTAGTAACAATATGTATTTGTTAAATAAATAAATAAGAGGTCTAGTACCAAGGTAGACTGAAGTTCTCAGGGTTGAAGAGCAGCAGAATCAGTGTCCAAGAAGATGCAGGAGCATCCTTTATGCTGCAAGTTGGCATCATGACTATTTAGAAAGGTTTCCGAAGTAAGGCAGGGAGTTCTGTGCTTCTTCAGGCAACAGAAAATGTGCAAATATTTCACGTGCTTCAAAGTTTAACAGTTTCAAACTACAATACTACTTCATACAATTAAAACTGTCTACCTAGCAGCCCTTGGGGAGAGAAACTGATGGTACAGACTCTGTACAGCCTCATTCAGTCACATGCAGGCCATTCGGTGCTACAGAACGTCTACCCACTCCTCTTTCAAATGTACAGGACACACCCTTCTCTTCAAAGGACACCGTCAAACCACGTGCACGTTTTGACGAAGAACCGAGACTACTTAAATCCTACGTAGGCAAATAACCTGTGATGGCTGTAGACAAACCTAATCTAAACAACCTCTTACCTGATTTTGACTACGAGAGGCCAGAATTTCTGTCCTATCAAGTTTTGGGTCTTAGGGACAAGATTAACGTGCTGCCACCTAATTCAGCTGAGCCAACTCACTGTGTCATGACACGGGTCTCGGATCCGGTGCACAGGAGCACCCAGCTGAGTGTCAGGAAGGAGCAGGACTGTCTCTTCTGGTGGCAGCTCGCTCTTCTGTGGACTTAGCCGCAACAGGAGCACGCCCCAAAGCTCACACTATCTTCTGATAGGTATGGAACTATGGCAAGGGTATGTTTGGAAGAGTTAACAGAAATAGGCACTCTTTTCAGAGGGGAACAGGCCAACATATGTGGAATTTAACTTCTGAACAGATGCCAGTCGCTCAGCAGATTGACAGGACGTACAATGGAACAGACCACGAGCTTCAAATTGCTTGGCCTTGCAGTCCACGGACAAGTTGAAGACGCAGTCAATGCCCACTATACGGGCTGGCCACCGTATTTTACACTGTGATGTTTCGGGTCCTTTCCGTCAGTAGCTCCAGCACACCTACAATAAATGCTCTTAAAAGAAATTTCAAACAAAAGCAGAGAGACGACTTCTGAACATCAGCCTGTCCAGCCTAACAGGGTACCAGGGAGTTTCACCACAGACAGAAGATTAGTGACAGACTAAGGCATTTGGTGGCTCTTCCATTCAGCGCTCTTGAACACACAGATGTGCCTCCCTTGGCTTGAGGTTAGAAGCAGCATTTAAACCAAAACAAAACGCTAATTCCTATTTTCCCCATTTTGTCCTTGAGCCACTCAGGGCAGCAACGGGATTCTTATTGACTGAAGAGAGGCACGGGCTAAAGTGTGAGCAGCACAGCCGGATCTAGTGAGTCAGCTCATTTCCAGAGTGAAGCCCAGTGAATCCTCTGGCAGAAAAAAAGTGCATACCTTGCACGGCTTAAGAAATAGCATTACTGTGGTATGTTCACAGCAGACTTCGCTATAATCTCTCACACTAGATGTCAACAGACACAGAACCCCTCCCCTGAGGGAATTCCCCACGAAGCCAAGCCAGAAGTTACAACACGCGGCCAAGAACGAAACTTCTGTAAGCGGTGGAGGACGTAACTGCCCCGTTATCTACTGTCACAGACGAGGCTGCTGAAAGCCCGATGGTGGCGTGTCCCTCGCTTTCGTACATCTCAGCGTTGGCGTTTCAGCATTGCACCGTGGTTGTTGAGGCCCAATTTACACACGATTTCCCCAGTGTAGCGCTGTTTGGGCTTTGCAGGAAGGATTTGCAGGATGCATTCGTATCAATCCCTCACCTGCACCGGGAGGTTGTGTTTTATACCACCAGCACAGAAATTATCCAACGGAAACTTGGCTCCTCCTTTGAGCTCTTAAAAGCATCTCTGTACAGCAGTCAAAACTATTCTGGTTCTTCTCCCTTTCCCTCTCCACCCAATCTTTCTTTGGAATAGTAGCTTTAGAAAGCCACTTCAAAAGTACACCCCCCCACCCCACCCTTAGTTTCTATTTAAATTACCTCATTTATGACAGGTTATTTTGCTGGAGACATTATCTAGTTTTTTCAACTTTTAAATACCTGAAAGAAATGTGCTAGTGCTTGTGTTTGCATTGTTTTAAAATTATTCAAATCACACTTTAAAAATCTTCAATTTCTTGCTTTAGCTGATGCTAAAAGTTTTGAACGATGCTGTAGAAAAACCACAGGCAGTTACACTTGAAG